TATTTATATGACAACCATGACACAGTTACAGAGATCCTCACATGTACATCGACATCGGGACATTATGCTTACAGGAAAACACAATAGACAACAAAAATACACAGTACAACATTGGATGAACGACGGTACAACCTGTCCAGAGGGAACTCTTTCTCTAGCTACTAGACACCAACTTATGTAAAAAAAAAAAAAAATGATAAATTTTTGTTTTATCTATTATCTATATGAGAATCTACTTTTTATTTTTGTAAAGGGCTGAAACTAAGTACACGATCTGGATATAAATCTAGTAAACCCCGTTTATGACTTATTCTCGTCATAACAATGTCTACGTTTAATGTCATAAATTGGATACTCTATTAACACTAAACGAGACGTTAGTTCTGAAGATATTACCACCACAATTTTCAGTGTCGAACGTCAGGTCGTAATATTGACTTATACTGTTTACCTTTTCCTCTATTTTATATCTGCCCATAAATCGGAAAACATTTCTTTTTTTAGGGTAAGATCAATAACATCGAAGTTCATGTAATCGCACCACTTTATGGATCTCAAATAAACGTAGACCTTTTAGGATTAGGGGGGTACGGAAAGTACCTTTGTCTATGACGAAACAAAACAAGTATTTATACGAACTTATAGAAATTAAATACTCCAAAGTTTTAACGGGTAACATTACAATGCGAGATTATACACTTCTTTAATCGAGTTTACACGAAAATAGATCGAAACGTGCACACATTTCTCTAAATACGTCGGTACGTATGTTTCTTTACGAGTTAGTCAACTTTGGCTACCGTCGAGGTTACGTATTAAGTTCCTACTATAATGGTAAGTAATAAGAACAATTAAATAACGAAATAACACTAAAGATATTTTGTTAACGGTACCTTATCGTCTCTTTTGGAATTTATTGGGCAAGTCAATGAACAGACCATATTTCAATGGAAGTTTCAGTCTTAATTTTATGTTATTTTTTATATCCTTTATTAAGATTAAAATATATAAAATATAGAACAAAGAAGAATTTTATCGCCTTACCAAACATGCAGCAAAATTGGCAGCAACCATTTGGTCAGCAACATTGGGGGATTGGTGTCGATTCTACAATTATTGGTTGTATCAAAAACTACGTGAATTGTATCGGATTTTTATTTTTTATGATACTTTGATTATAAGATGTGAGGCTTTCCGTCTTACCTAAATCGGGTGTTGTATTGAATTTAATTCGTTATGACGACGAATAAATAATGAGTTGCGAAAAAGTCGTCAAAACAAGCCAGTCGTGGTGAAGTTTATAAGTTTTATTTTGTAAACATGTTTTTCAAATTTTTATACTCTAAATCTTTATTAGTTAATTGAGGTCACATTTGTTGACCTATGGAGTTGTGGATTACATCGGATCGAGTATACTTCCAACAACCTGGTAAAAGAAAGGGAGACTATAGTCTAGGTCACTGAGAGGCATTTCCGTGTAGGGAATAAGTTTCAACTTTCTTATGACAAAAAATTTTAGATGTAATCTTATATTTTTCGCTTAAAGAATTTTCACCACACACAAACACAACGACACACACACACACACCCACCCACACACCACCACCACCACCACCACCCCCCCCCACCACACACACACACAAAACCCTTCTTAGTAAAGTGTCGTGATTCAGGTTATCCACTACTTGAAGTTAGGGAACTAACACAATACTCACCTATCCCGTTTCACGTGCTATTTAATGGCTATAATAGGAGAAAAGTGCGGAGACAGACTTTGTGTCTCGGGGTCAGACGAGCTAACCAATCGACCGGCCGAGCAAACTCTACCAGTTGGCGAATCTCTACAGGGCGAAGAATCGTTTAGTGTATCTTACGCGTTCGGTTATCTGTACGCTAACAAATTATCACTACAGTAATACCGATGTCTAACCATTTGTTTCCATGGGTTTAACTCCACAAAGGGTCGTCTACCCCTCACACACAAGGGAGACCACACGTAAAAACCCTAAAATCGGAAACACGTCTGGTAATTGTACGTGTTTTTGGCATATAATGTGTGGATGTCTTTTCCCTTTTGATAAATCAAATTTCACAAAGGAAGATTGTCAATTGCAAGTGACACAGTATAGTTATACCGTATCTAAGGGATGGCATATAAGTTAATAATACAAAAATGACATTAAACAAATGTCTTCCCGACACTCTGTCCGACACGACTCCTGGTCAAGGCTACAGTGTTGTTGGAGGACGTATAGCAGGTTCACCGACACACTACCGTTCCTTCTGACGTTTCTACCCGCCTTCTACTCTTTTTGACGGTCCTTTGTCCACGTTTTCGTTACAGGACATCAAAACGTATTCCAAGTACCATTGACATCCTTTCACGATGGACTTAGATGTACAACACGTATCTTGTAAAGATTTGGAACACATGTTTGGAACAGCACGGGCTCCTTAACAAAAAAAGAATAAAAGACAAAGAAAATATAGATATATACCACCTTTCTTTCCGATAGGAGACGTTATCGATAAACTCTAATGCCGAGTTACGACTAAATCACTTTCCAAACAACCAACGAACAGCTGTCCAGTTAACGAAAGCTTGTTCGGAAATGGGTCTGCTTATATTTTAACTCCGCTCGCTGTACATCTAAAACTTAAGTTTCTTTAGTCAGGAATAAAAGTCAACCGTATGTAGGTCACATACAATCCCTTGTAACCAAATTACTTACCTTCTTACCGACATAATCTACTTAATCACGTCGTACGGGACATGGCCATCATGTCATGTTTTCGTAATCCCCTTTTAATGCACCCTACCACTGACCAGGTCTTTGTACAAGAGTTATCAGGAGATACTTTAAAGAGGTACGATTAACGTCAGGAACTTTTACTGTAGTGAGACTTTAAGACTAACTCTATGAAATTAGCTGTCATACTTTACCAGTGTCACAAGACGATTTACACGAGACCTTTTCACTATGACAAACTAATCAACGTTTCGTGACGTTCTGCTTCGTAGTTAGACAAAATCCTCCTTCGTTTATTGACGCTCTTTGTGAAAACAGTCAGTCGAAACACACTTTAGCAAGTGAAGAAGTGTGACACATCATCTCGGTTTTTGACTTTTCCAAGGGACTCACTAAACATCAACTGTTTTCGCCGAACGCCTGAACTATATGGAACGGGAAGAGATCACCCGGGAAGTACAAGGAACTCTGCACTCATACACACACGGTCGCCTCCCACACACAGGTCGGTCGACGCCCGAGAAACACGGAACTACCTGTCTGTTGACGACTACCGAAGTTGTCAATAAGCCTCACCTTCTTGGCAAAAACTGTATTGTTTTTGAAGTGGTGGAGAGACAATGCACAGTTTTACCCACTGCTGTCACCCATGGCCAAAGCATGTCTCTCTGTCCCAGCAACATCAGTAACAAGCAAGAGAGTCTTTTCCACAGCAGGGGATATTGCAAACGCCCAAACATCCCAGCTTCTACCTGGAAATGTGGACATGCTCATATTCCTAAAAGATAACCTTGATGATGCTGAGTGAGTGAGTTAGTGAGTTAGAGTTACGGTACTTGAAAAACTAAAGTGAAACTTGATTTATTCTATTTATTGCAGGGTCTGATTATTATATTGTTGAAACTTTAAAATACTACTATCCTACTAAAATGCTGTACAATAAGATTTATTATTTAATAAGAAAAAAAATTCTAGTAAAAAAAAAAAAAATTCACATTGTTTTTCTTTATTTTTCAATATTGCGATAAATATCGTACCGTGGACTTTTTATCGCAATATTATCGTACCGTGAGTTTTTGGTATCGTTACATCCCTAATATCTATTATAACAGAAAAGGAAAACTTTGTGAAGTATTAATGTTTGATAAAAGGTCCAGTGATTTGTTTTAGTGGCGTCTAGCTGTAAGATTGCAGAATAATAAATATCCCTCCGCTACCCCTCCTTTTGAAAGCGCGTTGGGAAATTACAGTGGCCCAAAGTGGCAAAGAAATTCGAGACCCTCTTTAGAACCAGTGTTTGGTCTGTCAGTTGGGCTAATGCAGAAACATGACAGACCGTGTGTCAGGACATGCGCCTTATGTATATATTTAAAAAGGGCTTTATATTTCCACGCTCCGTGATCGTCGCTTAAAAGGTTGTTTAGGTCTACCATCTTGAATACTGTCTAACAGCTTCAGTGAGGATTGAAGAGGGATCTCTGAGGATTAACTGATATGTTTTCTCTCCTAACATGATTTCCAGCATGTCTTAAAGCTTCCTAGATTGGAGGGACTGACGGAAATGTGGTTGAAATGTAAGACACTTTGGATGCGATCAACAATTCTTAGTTCTAGGAGTTATGCACTAATGAAAACATAGTTATGAATATTATATCCCCTTTCTGGCTGTAAATCCCCCTGATTCCTTCACACTGGTCCTCTAAAAGTGTTCTTTGTTTGGAGCCAGTTTTGAAGTGTGCAGTATTTTATTTCTAATTTAGCGTCCCGCTCATATCTGTGCCTCATTAGCACCACTTGTGGGTTTACCTTCCTCTTTGATTCATAAGTAAGTGGCACACATAGCTCAAACACTGGCCTCATCTGAATTATCCAGGCAGTCATAGTCCCCGTCGCAGCGGAATCTGGACGAGATGCAGTCTCCGTTAGCGCAGGCAAAGTCCTTGTGGTTGCAGGTGACCGGCTCTAAGTTGAGAAAAAAACATAACAGATATAAAATCTTGCCAAATTGATTATTTTTTTCCAGAAAAATACATACATCCCCCGATGCAGTGATCAGCCAAATGTGCTGTGTTGGCAAAACCATCATTTAGCTAATTAGAGTCATTTTGTATTAGGAGTGGAGGAGCTAAGCTGATCAAGACGTAAATACATTCAAGGCTGCTCTCACAATGGAGGGGGGGCAACACACTTTCCAAAGCCAAAAAGCTTCAGCCATTTAGTGCTAGTGTGTCCCTGAGGAGAATATTAGGGCACAGCTAAACAGCTGCATCACATCCAATGTCTGGGCCCTCCCCTTGTTATCAAGGACTGTTAGCTAACCCAGGGTGTGTGTTATGAGTTGTGCTGCAACAGAGAGTCCCAGCAGGCATTGCAGCAAAGAAATCTGATTTGCAGCCTCTCCACTGTCTGCGGGGTCCACCTGCTTAATTCTTCACCATCCACCACTTGACTGGCTTTTATTTGCATTCATGTGACATTAATAAGTATGGGAAATGAGCACCTTATAAATCACATAAATGATGCACACTCAGCAGGAACACACAAAAGGCATGCAAACGTGACGTAAAGGCAAACACACACACACGTACAATGCGCAAAATAAATGGAATTTAACGAGGTGTCATTCCACGAGTAAATACAAGTTTTTCTTCTAAAAAGTGAGCATGAATATATATGAAAAGGGAATATGAGCGGGTTGAGTTGCAGAGAAGAGATGGTATCAAGAGCTCCGGAGTCTGAGTCTCATATTATTATCAGAAAAAAAAAGCACAAATAATAAGAGTTGTGTCTGGCGCAGTAGATAGTGGGAAACATTACCCACAGATACATAGGTGTGTGGGAGACATATAATTTGTTGTGGTGGTGGGAGGGGCTCTCAAGTGTCTTCTAAGAAACCCAATTCTTCAGTGTAGAACGTCAGTAGTGTATAAAGAACACACTGAGCTGCCAGAAAGTGAAGGAGACGGGTACTCACTGCAGTTCTCCTCGTCTGAATTGTCTCCGCAGTCATTCTGGCTGTCACACCTCCAGTGGTCCGGGATGCAGTTGTTATTCTCACAGCGGAATTCATGAGGTCCGCAGGTCTTTTCATCTTTTTCATCAAGAGCAAACAAACACAAAGATGAAAATGGCTTCAAAGAGCATGAATATTAATGGCGCGCAAGCTACCGTATTTTCTACGTGTAATCATGGTTTCCTCAGGGTTTCCCTAAGCAAGTCTGACACGGAGTTCAAAACACAGTGCACACTCCAGAGGCTAACTCACAGTAAGATGAAATACCTGACTGTGCTCCCAATCACCCTCAACACAGTTTGTGACAGGGAGCTGGCAACATTGAGCTTTCTTCAAGAAAAACACCCGAAAGATTCACAGAACACAACAAACACTGAGCTATTTGATTTTTGATTTTTCTATATACCGCGACCCAAAGTGTTTCTGTTTCAGTACCAGTACATATCACAGTGGTTTAATTATATGTTTAAATGCCATCGCTTATAAACAGTAACAGCAACTTAGTTCTGTATTGGTCTATATCAGCTCATCACTTCTTGGTCTTTAATGGTATTTATTTGTTATATATTAGTTGAAATAAATATTCATTAACAAATATGTTTCCCAAAAAGACCAGATACGTAGTAACTAGTTTAAAGTCTTGTTCTGTTGCAAGAGAGCACATGAATCTTCACAGTTTCCAGTAAAGAAAATGTCTCTCTGAGAAAAGCTAAAGTAAAACGTATAATAAAAAATCTAAAATGATGAACTTTATTCATCTTGTTCACGAGGTGTGAAAAGAGTGTGGGCACATTAAAACATATAAGCTCAAAGTAAATTGGGAACTTGGAGACTTGGAATAACACCAAGGTGCAGCTTCCTACTAAATACTAAATGTAATGGTAAATGGACTCCTTTACTATGTGACCCCTAAAAGGACATTTACATATAGAAGTCATGCAATCGGGAGCAATATGGGGTTATATACAGTAGCTTGTTACATTGACATGTTGGTTGCAAGGGCCAGAGATGAAACTGCCAACTTTCCAATTGTTGGGCCTCTGCTCTACATCCTGAGCCACAGTAGCTGAACATCTTTAAAAAGTCATTTTAAATGTTACTCCTGTGAGTCAATAAACGGCACTTAAGAGTCGACTTTGGTGCCAGTAGCTCAGTTTGTCTTGGGAACCAAAGGGTCGCCGGTCGAGTCCCGATAAGACCTAAATATATGGAGTGGGGTTGGTAGCTGGAGAGGTGCAGTTCACCTCCTTGAGCAAGGCACCACATCCCAAACTGCTCCCAGACACCATTACACTGGCAGCTCCGTGGCTCTGCCCACTCTCCATTAGTGCATGTCTATAGGTCCTGTTTGTTCATGTGTGTATTTCGGGTCAGAATTGTGTAATTGTAAAATAAAACCAGAGTGAATAAGTGAATTTCCTCTAAAGGAATAATAAAGGTTATCTTATGTATTAATGTGTATGCTGTTTAAAGTGACTGGTATTTATGGTGAATGTGTCAACGGTGGCTTGCGGTTGATATGGGAATAAGTATGAAGGGTCTGCAGTATATCATTCTTAAATCAGACCCAGTTTAAACATTAATGGCCTAGTGGTGGAATTATCCAAAATATCCGCATTCACTTCAAAAAGAAACAGATGCTTTGTATATTTATTCGAGCAATGCTTCCTCAGATTTGGATTCAAAGTCAAACTCAGCCTCCCTTTAAAAAGTTGTTTCAGCGCAGACATCATCAGGGATAATAGCCAAGGTAACGCTGTTATCGGTTAGGGAAGAGATGTGTCATAAGGATCCAGGCAGATTCTGCCTGGATCTCTTTCCAACACGACAGCAGGAGGAGAGAATCAGGAGGGAAAGCTGAGCACAGCAGCCGAGGACACAAGGCGGCAATTCATTAGGAGGCAGCTCAGTCACTAACTGCATATAAAAGATGTGACACAGGAGTAATATTTCCCCGCTAAGCTAGAGCTCATTAAGGTGCTAACAAGCAAAACTTCCTTAAACTGTCTGAGATAATTCAAAGTGAAAATAAAGTAGCTCTAAAGCAGCATTACCTCTGTGAGAACTTTTTAGGTGATGAATTACAGGATGACACTGCATATAACACAGTTTGAGGGGCTAAAGTCAAACATCAGAACACATTCAACAAAGCGGGATAAGCATTTACTCAATGTTACATCAGGGTCCTCTCGAGTTAAGTGACATTTAAGCAGCAGCAAAACAGTCACATGAAACCGACTTGAAATTACAAAGGAAATCTATTGAGAGGAGGTGTGAAGCATCACACATCAAAGCATTCATAATTCTCAAATTGCAATCTTGTGCAAGCCGCATTAACTGACAACACTATCAAAAATAGAAACACCTGGCCCAATTGTGAAGGCATCATTTGTAGATATTACGTGCTAAAGTAAAACACATTATAACATAAAAAATATATATATATTTTATGTACAGAATAATAAACTGTATTATTATGACTGACTTCATGAATAAAAAAATATTGGATATTTTTTTCTTTTGCTAAAACTTAAAACTAAACTGCAGGGTTTAGCATAATTGTGGAGTGAACATAATTATGTCTCTTCAAGAGGCATTTCAGGCCAAAACAGCCCTGATGAAAACTCCTCAAAAGTTAGTTTTTCCTCCTGATGTAGAAAAAGTTCCCAAGGTGCCCTGCCCTTGCAAAAGTGTTTTTTTGTTTTATTTTGTGTGTATGTTTGTGAGGTCACACAGCAAACTGAGATCATAACGCTGAGCTCTTATCGACAAAAGCGAACAGCTGTCCTTCATGTGGTTCTCCCTCCACACATCATCCGATGAAGGATGGAGACGGACCAGAGTGAAGCCAAGTGTAAAATTAATTCCGATTCAATCAGATCCTTCCCCCCCTTTAGCTGAAAATTAAGTGAAGTGCTGTGATTTATGGTTAAGTGGGTTCCCACAACTCACCGCAATTAGCCTCGTCCGACCCGTCTGCGCAGTCGGGGTCCTCATCACAGACCCAGAGTTTGGAGATGCAGTGCATGGAGGCCTTGCACTGGAACTGGTCCGGGGAGCAGGTGCTTTCAGCTGTGAGCAGAGAGAGGATTTGGATTATTTTTGAAACATTCAAAATGTAAGAGCCAATGAGCAGCCATTAATCCCCCTAAACACTCACATACCTGCTCAGTGTTTTATTATAACAAGTAGTTGTTGTGTTGCCTATTATAAAACCTCACATTGTTACAGATAGCATTTTAATTTCAGCGGTGCAATGCTCATTACAAAAGTGCATTTAAAACCACATCCAATCATTGTGGAAGACTAGGAAGGGGTGAAGTAATTAGCTTCACTTTAATTAAAGTCTTTTTTTTAAGTCTCTCTTTCCCCCTCCTTACATCTTGCATCCTCTCCCCCCACTTTGACCCCACTTGCAATCACATGCAAGACAAATCACAGCAGCCTGAAAGACTTGAATGGGGTGTGATATTCTGATGAGTTACATCAGGGCAGAGGAAATCTGGTCTTATCCTCTGTGCAATTCAATAACTAATCCCTTTTCACAGGAACAGGCCAACACAAGGGCTGCTTTTGGAATACCGAATGAACATGTCGTCATGCATTGTGTTGGAGCAGGAAATACATCTAACATGTTAAAAGAAGGACAATTCAAATGATATATCTTTATCCACTAGATTAAAACAATGTATATATATACTGTATATATATATATAACTTTAGAGTTTATTTATTATTTATTTGTTTATATATTAAGTCTTAAAATGTACGTATGTGCATACATATGTATATGTATACATGTGTATGTATGTATATGTATACAGTATTGGTATAGCTGAGTATATATGTATATTTAAAAATCACCCCTCTGTATACATAATGGGAAAATGTCTTAGTCCCTTATGCGTATCAATGTCATGTAATCAGCTTTAATTTTAAATTAAATATATATTACTGTTTACATTTGTTATTTCTACTATTATGTTATCTTTGTTTTGTATTTAAGTTTCTTGTGTTTTACCTAATCTTTATGAAAAACACAAGTTTGTATTCTGAGTGAGATGCATCGTAACTAGGTCGATAAATGGAGAGTATAAAATCAAATATAAAAAATACATTGATTCTTATTTGAGAAATTATTTGTTTTCTTTTCGAAACTTCAAAATATTAATAAAATTGAAAATACACATGACCAATAGATTTATCTTATCCACAGTTGTTTATATATAAAAACTAATCTTAAAATAGTGGCTGTGTTATAGGCTTTTGCTGCATTGTCGGGACAGATTGAAACAGGGATTTATTCATGAGCTTTCCGGTCTGAAAGCCATTTTCTAAGTCCATGAGTTTGAAAGTAATAATGCAGAGCCTTACGGCAGTCCGTCTCGTCCTCTCCGTCTCCACAGTCGTCCTGACTGTTGCAGCGCAGGTTAAGAGGGATGCATTTCTGTTTCCTGGTGCACTTGAACTGGCCTGACAGACAGATGTATGTCTCTGAAAGAGAAAATGGGCAGGAGCAGCGGGAGGTTGAATCAATAAGAAATGATGGGATGTCGAGACAAAGCAAAGCATTTACTGGCTGCTAGTCATTCACCCTGCAACTTGGTCAGTTTATGAAAAGCTAATACATTTGCTTGGTTTTTTAAACATCCATTGTTTTTACTTTTTTTTTTTATTGAATATGGATTATGATTCATATTTCATATTCATATTTTTAACTCTGTTTCCAATTAATGGAAAATGTCCTGTTCGTAATGTCATTAGAACTCAAGGTGACATTTTGAAATAGCTTGTTTATTGTGAAAAAGAGCCCCAAGCCCAATCATTTAAATTGACTTGATAAATTATTCCAACAATTAATTGATTTCCAAACAATTATTAAAAGTGGTCTTGATTCATTTCCCGGTGATCAACTCATTAATTTCTAGACTGATTGTTTTAACACCAAATTGTACCATCACCATCAAAATGACAAAAGACATGACACTACTGGGCATACAGATTAATTGATTCTGTAAGCCAGACAGGTTTCTGGCAAATGTAGAAACAGCACAGCAATAAGGAAGAAGTATTGAATGACATTTAAAAAAAAGTTGAAAAAGAACCACTTAGATTTCCTTAATTAATTAAAGAGCTAAAGTTGCTAGATCCTCACCACAGTTAGCTTCATCTGAGTTGTCCCCACAGTCGTTCTCTCCATCACAGATGAATGGAGGAAGAGCACACAGGCCAGTACCGCACTGGAAGCGCCCAGGCTGACATTTGAATTCCGCTGTTGGAAGAGATCATAACTATATATATACTCTAAAAGTTCAATCAGATATTATATATATCAGTACAAGGTATTGTGTAATGCCATTAAATGCTAAACATATAAACTAGCAAATACAGAAACACAGTTCCAAATCAATATTAATATCCCTCAAAGATGACCTTGAAGTGTTCTGGTATACATTAGTATTATTCTAAAGCTTTGAACTTTGAACAACATGGCACTCACGGCAGTCAGTAGGTTCATCCGATCCATCCCCACAGTCGTCCACCGTGTCACACTTCCACCAGAAAGGGATACACTCATCTGTCCCACAGCGAAACTAGAAGTACAAATAAAAAATAAAAACAGAATTTGAGGTCAACATGAATATTTGACTCGTTTTAGCTTCAACATTCTTCAAAGCCAAAGTCAAAATCAATATACAACCATCTCCTTCGAGTATATGTCTGAAGAGGAAAAACTATGAGAGTGAAGCAATTTGGCCAGGAGGGAAAAGAAACAAGAAAAAACATGGACAAATAGAAGCAGGAAGTGGGAGGGGGAGTTGGCTGACCTGACTGGAAGTGCAGTTGGAGAGACATGTCTTGTTGTCAGCAGCCAAGTAAAAATTTGTGGGACAGGCACATTTGTGTTCCCCACCGGGAGACAGAAGACACAGGTGGCTGCATCCTCCGTTCGCAATCTGACACTGGTGCTTGGGTACTGTACAGAAGGACACAGAGATTAAAACTAAGTAACATAAATACTTTCCTTCTCGAAACTCGGCAACAACCGCTCAGCATGGGAGGGTAGAACCAACAGGAGTGCCAGATGGACTCCGTACCTTCAGGCTGGCGCAGGGAGTGGTAAACCTTGATGGATTTGATGGCTTGCCAGGAGTTGAGAAGCTCCATCCCTTGAGCGCCAGTCGTCTTGTGAGCACGTCGAAGTGATTTGGACTTACCGTCCGTCCAATAGATAAAGTCCTCGAACAAAGTCAGAGCCATTACCCCTTGGATGTGATCGTAGGACACTGGAGAGGGACAAATGGCCAAGGCAAGATTCAATTCAATTCTTTTTTGTAGTCAGTTTAGCACTCACATCAACTTCCAATTAGTCACCTCCACACACATTTATTTATCCAGATTTTAAAGCATTTAGAATAGCTCAGTCACATTTTTAATTGTCCAACATTTAGTGACTTAAACAGTGTCAATACTTTAAGTCCAACTTCCACGTTACGGTTTAACATCAACAGCGATGTGTTAAATAGGTTTATGTGCATGTAAATGGTGTGAAAAGGCTAAACAAGTGCACTACAGGAGTTTCTCGCCCACACACTACCTGAAATGACATCACTATGTAACACTTGCACTTCTATTGGCTAGCACTACGAGCGGTTGACCAATCACAACAGAGCCGGCCAGCTAACCAATCAGCTTTGGTTACAGACAGAGGGTTAAAAGAGCTGCAGCAGGCAGTTTGAGAAAAATAAAGATATTTTTAAACATTAAAGCATGTAAACATGTCACAGTAGAGGCACAACATACAAATGTGAACTTGAGCATAATATGTTTTCTCAAAGTAAGAGTTGGAGCAAATAGAGATAGCATTTTCTAAGGTACAGTAAGCTAACCAGCTGCCAGCTCCAGACTAGCGTTCAACAGACAGACGTACCACCTGAGTCTCACCTTTGCGTCTTTGGGTTCCATCCATGTTGGAAAGAAGGATGTGGTTGTCGTCTGCCCAGTATAGCCTCTTGTTGGTGTAATCGATAGTGAGGGCAGTGGGGCTATAGATCTCCGTGTCAACGATAACCGTCTGCCCTCGACCATCCATGCCAATACGGCCGATGTGGGGGGGTTCGCAGCAGTCTACCCAGAACACGTACCTAGTCAGAAGTACAGCGTAGATCAAAGAGCTACATTCTCCAGCAGGCGGAATGTGATAGGAATTTAAATGAGCTTTGACACATATTGATACACATCAAGCAAAATTGATCTAACAGTTTCCAGGTTAACCATCTGAAAGGAGCAAGTATATCCTTGTTCTGCCTCAGGCTACGAAATCAATCCATATTAAGAAAACACTAAGGATTTATGGTGAGCTTTACAGTTGTGGTGATAAGCTTACCCAGTCTGAGGGTCCAGAGCTAGATCTGTGGGGCTATTGAGGCCAGAACTGATCAGGACAGTTGGGTAGAGACCATTGGCTTTGGAAACTTCCATTGTTTTCCTTTCTGCATCGCACCAGTACAGATTTTTCCCAATCCAATCCACTGCTAAGGCACTGGGTACTGCTGTTTTATGGACTACCTAGTAACACAATGAAAGGAAGATCACTTTAAGTATAGAGGTTTGTCTATTGCTATACATTTATCCATGAATGATTGTAAATAACTTTGAAGTACAGTAACTTTGAAGAATAAGATGGCATTAAAGGACAAGTGGTTATTTCATTTATTCACTTCTGACACACAAGATAATGTACAATTGAACGGTAATGGCTACAAATGCATATCCTCTGTGACGCACAGCTGCTGAAGGGTACTGCAGAACAGAGGCTGAGCGTTGTTGTTAAGTAAGCGAGTCATATACAGAAGACACTGTCAATTGTGGTTTGCTTCAGTATAAATTTCTTATATCTAAAAAAGGGATATGTTAAGTAGCTTTGATCGTAAAATGAATATGTTCTTTGTGTTTCCTTTACTTCCTTATTTGCGCCACCTACATAAGGCATGAGTTGAGTTAGAGCTAGAGTTTTGCTGAAAGTTAAAAGTGTCATGTTGTGTTTTTTAGGCCAGGAATCTGGTGAAGACTGCCATAATCCAATGTATTTTCTTGTGTAGTCTTGTGTGAAGAGAAGTAGTTGGTGCACTGCATGTTTTTGGAGCCAGAAACTGTCTTAAGACTTAAACAATAAAAAAAAGGTAATAGTATAGTTTCACCCAAAATCATGCATACCTTGTAAGAGGCTACATATAGAGGGCACACATCCGTTCTGCTGCTGTATGACAGCAACGGTGGACGATCTAAGTAAGCATATCATTATTCTCACTCAGTAAAGAACATATACAGTCTAAGGTACAGACTTGTAGTGACTCTTAATCACGTACAAATAGTATTTTCATGTGCATTTACAGCTGTACTGGCTAATATATAGATCTGAGTGAAAACATTTTCAAACATTTAAATGTGCACAAAACAATTTGCTGTGCATTTTAAAGAGCTTCATTAGCAATACAATGTGGTTTGACCAGGTACAAACAGAAATGCAATGTCATGCAAATGTGAATACAAACCACTTCACCCATCTCATTGCAAATATTATCAGTTGTAAATTAATAAATGGTAGTGTAGAACTGTATATTGCAGAAATGCAAGAAAATTTGGAAAGAAGTACTCTTTGCACGAGTATTTCTTAACAATGTAAATGCTAATTATGTTATTAAAGCGGCTAGGAGGGAAAGCAGCAGAGAGACAATCATTAGGAAAAAAATCATCTCACTGCGCTAATCTCACTGAGAGATTAACTTAAAATATTAAAATATAAGTGAAAGTATTTAACTGATGTAAATAAAATCTAGGAACTGTCTGGGAACTCTATCAATATCCCCAGGACAGTCTAGCTTGTGAAGTATGAAAAAGCAGTTGTTCAGAATAAACAATCATTGTGCCAGCTGGCAGATAAAGCTAACATCATTAAAACCCCCTTTTTACAAAAAAAGAAAAAAATGCCAGCAACCATGCAATCTGTCATTAAGGAACACGACGTGCTTTGAGGCCCTTTCTGTCATCATTTGCGAGAGGATATATAGTCTTGGCAAAAGACTTGGCTGTCCCCGAGGAGGTAATTTGGACACGACTGAACTTAAAACAGTCACTAAAGGGACGCTTTGTGAAGTATTTTCAATCACAACTGCCTCCTTGGGAAAAAATGAGTTGATTCTCCCATAGAGTTCTTCTTCTTTATCCTTAATATTGCACTATTGATCAAAGACATTGTTTTATGTGGCACTGAAGGTTAACTTGAGACCAACGTCAGCATTTGGATGTGACTCACCGATCACACTCCAGATTCATTTGGTCTTTATGTTTTGATCTTGAAAGTTGTTTTTTTCATTTCAAAGTAACATTTAAAATAGAACAGAGAAGTTCAATCAATCATTTTTTGTTATATTATTTCATCAATGTAAAGTGTTTTTAACACAAAGAAAAAGCATTTTTGTAACATGGTTTACTTGCTTTTAAAAACATGAAAGCATATTTGTCCATAATATGAAACAATAAATAAAAACAATCATTAATCAATCAATCAATAGGATACGGCTGAAATAGGCCGAAGGCCTTTTAGTCGCTCATAAATAAGTAGATCACTGTTCTTCATATGCTATGGATGCTGGCAACAGTCACATAGTCCAAAGTGAAGGTGATGTTTGACCAGTAATGATCGAGGCGGGACTTGAGACAGTTAACCGTCTTGGATGTGACAACGCTTTCTGGCAGATCATTCCACAAGTCAACCACACGCAGGCTGAAAAAGTTGCGGCGGATAGCCAGCCTTGAGTACTNACCACACAGTTAATAAATACAACTACTCTTCTGGCTAAAATGCATATTTTTAAAAGTCAATCAACGAGTAATCTTAATTTAAGGTGTTTGAAGAGTAGATTATAAATACAATTTCTTTTAGAAAAAATTATTGCCACAAAAAAATCAAAGGGTGGCTCAACACGTCATGAAATGGGAAATATGCTTGCCATGTTGTGTTTTTG